TGATACCTCTGGCCTTCAGGGGCACCGGGCATGCATGGGGTGCACATATACATGTGGAGGCTCTCATACACATAAGTCCTTTCAGAAATGTGCAAAACAACATGAACACACAGATACATACACACACTCACACACAGACACCCACAGACATACACTCACTCACACACAGATGCACAGACACACACACACACACACACACAAGCCTCACTTATCCTAGACTGCCCTTGAACCTTGACTTCAATGTGTAGCTAACCTCTTGCCCCTTTCCCTCACAGGCATGTGAAATCATGTCTGGCTCAGAAGCTCGGATTCTGGGTCAAGTGTGATGGGAGGCCCTGCAAGGTTCTGAGCAGAGGGGCATGATGTGAGCTATATTCTAAAAGGCTTCTTGGCTTCAGTGGGAAGAATAGTATCTGAAGGAGCTAAGATGCAGCAAGGAAAAATAAAAGTCTGCCATAGGGCATAACCGAGGTACTGAGGGAATGCTTGACTGGTACTCATAAGGCTCAGGGTTCAGTCTTCATAGAAACCATTGGCCAGGCGTGGTGGGTGCACACCTTTTGTCCCAGCACTCAGAGGCAAGTAGATCTGCGAGAGTCTGAGGCCAGCCTGGCCTGTATAATTCCAGGCTGGCTAGGGCTACATAGTGGAAACTCTATCTCCAAATAAATGAATAAAATAAAAGGGGTGCACTTGGTCTAGATCAGGGTGCCTATGGTAGAGGTTTATAATAGCCTTGGCTCTCTGATCACATATTATTTAAAATATTACCATCAGGTGACCATGGCTTTTCTTTCAGAAGAAATCTTGGGTAGAAAATTGTAGAGAACAAAGAGCAGGGATAATAGGGCATTTCTGAGCCAAGCAATGTTAAGCACACCCCTTTGGGGTCAGTGTTATTTAAAGTTTCATAAATGATTTTTTAGGAAGGGATTCTTTGAGGTGATTCAAGGTTCAAAGATCATCCTTTCCTTTCCAGGTAGTAAAATGTCAAGCTTACAGGGAGCATCTAAGCCAGGCACCTTAGTAATAGCCTGTTATCCAGCACTCAGGAGGTAGAGGCAGTAGGATCAGGAGTTCAAAACCAGCTTAGGATACACAATACCTTGCCTCAAAACAATAATGGTAAAACAGGGAGTATGATGGCTGACCTCAAATGTCAACTTGATGAGATTCATAACCCTGGGGGTGGGGTGGGGGTGGAGGAGACAGGCCTCTGGGCATTCCCATGGGGGTGTTATCTGGGGTGGGCTAAAGGAGGATGGGAGCGAGTACAGACGTTCATCTCTCTTTACTTTCTAACTGTAGCTGTCATGTGACCAGCTGACTCAAGTTCCTATGCCTGGGCCTCATCTCTCTCCATAATGACTTCAACCTGGAACTGTGAGCCAAGAGCAAGCCTCTTCCCCTTAAGTTGCCTTTGTCAGGTATTTTATACAGCAACGGGAAAAGCGACGAAGGCAGGGAGCATGTTCCATAACATTTTTAAACCACATACGTAAGCTGAAAAATAGACATTGTCTTGTCCCACGGCCATGGATGAGGAGACTTATATAGGAGAAGATAATTTAGATGCTAGCTTTAAGATAGTACACTCTAAACTGGCAGCTGGCACCAAGGAAAGGAACCTAGAAGTCTGGAGACATGGCTCAGTCATTAATGTGACTGCCATGGAAGCATGAGTTTCTGAGTTCGGATCCCAGACATCCATCTGTACTTGGGGGGGGGCAGCAGAGGGGTGTGGAGACAGGTGGATGTCTCATTGGCCAGCAAGTCTAGGCAATCAGTGAATTTCAGGTTCAGGGAGAGACCCAAGGGTAATAGTGATAGCATATCAACCTTTGACTTCCCCATGCATGTATGCTCATTCATATACAGCACAGACATACTTATGCCACACACATATCAGATATTACCCCTCATCCCCCTTTCCTCTAAGTAGGAGATCTTGCTATGTAGCCCTGGTCCATGCTGGCCTTGAGATTGCAGCTCTTCTCTTTTTTCAGGCCCCCAAGCACTAGAATTACAGTCATGTACCACCATTCCTCAGCACCCACATGGTGGCTCACAACTCTCTATAACTCCAGGTCCAGTACATTCATACAGGCAATATACTCATATACATTTAAATAAAAATAAATACATATAAATATTAAGAAAAAATGAAATAAAGACAATAGCATTAGTTAGTTGCAAGAAGACCAGCATATTTTTGTCTTGTTTAACATTATCTTTTTTTTTGAGTCAGGGTTTCTCTGTATTGCTTTGGAGCCTGTCCTGAAACTTGTTCTGTAGACCAGGTTGACCTCGAACTCACAGAGATCCATCTGCCTCTGCCTCCCTAGTGCTGGGATTAAAATGTGAGTCACCAAGGCCTGGCTGTATAACCTTATCTTGAGAGCCAGATAACCACTATTTTCAGGACTTCAGCTACCTGCTTGCAAAGGATTATCACAGATGGGCTTGTTGGCAGCTGACATTCCCTCACAGAAAGAACAGAGGAATAGGGAGGGTCATAGGTGGAGCCCTGACCTGAGGGTCCAGATAATCCAGGCTTTGAGGTCTTAGGGAGGAGCTAGAGTACTCAGGCTGAGAAAGGGGCTTCATGTAGGTGGGGATGGGAAAGCAAGTAGCTATGCTCCATGCAGACTTTCACCCACACTCCTAACTATAAACCTCACATACTCTGTAAGTAAGCCTAATAAACTCATTGGTTTCCCAAGGTGAACTTCAGTAGAGTCAAACTTTTGTTCGGTATTAGGACCTTAGAAAGAGAGGCATAGACTGTTCAGTTCCAATCCCTGCCCCCAGCTGAGAAAATTCTCTCCACTGTCTTAGGGGTTGGTGTGCAATGCTGGCAGGTAAGATGACAGAAAGGGCATGGGTAGCTTGGAGATGGTAGTGCACACCTTCAATCCCAGCACCCAGGAGACAGAAACAGGTGGAGCTCTGTAAATTGGAGGCCAGCCTGGTCTACAGAGTGAGTTCCAGGACAGCCAAGACTACAACAGAGAAACCCTGTCTCAAACAAACAAACAAACAAACAAAAAAGATAAGCTGCAAGTCTATAACATAAAGAATGAAGGTTCAATAGAAGTGGTCTTTTTCATACAACCCTATCATTCTTCTAATTAATTGCTTATTTTTATTTATGTGTGTGTGTGTGAGAGTATTAACTACATGCTTGTGATGTCCACAGAAGCCAAAAGAGGTGTCAGATCCCTTGGACCTGGAATTACAGGCAGTTGTGAGCCACTAGTTGTTGATGGTGGGAACTAAAATCAGGTCCTCTGCAAGAGCTGCACATGCGTTTTACCCCTAGGCAGTCTCTCCAGGCCCACAGTCCTATCATTTTGAAACTAGCAAGCAAAAGAAGCTTCAAAACTGGGAGTAATATCTGTGTAGAAAGATATCGCTGGAGAACATATCAAAGAAGGTCGTTATTTCAGTGGGGGAAGAAGGATCCTTAAGAATTCTCCAAAGCAGTGGTGGAGCACGCCTTTACTCCCAGCACTCGGGAGGAAGAGGCAGGTGGATCTCTGTGAGTTCGAGAAAAGCCTGGTCTACAAGAGTTAGTTCCAGGACAGCCTCTAAAGCCACAGAGAAACTCTGTCTTGACAAAAAAAAAAAAAAAAAAAAAAAAAAAAATCTCCAAAAGTATTAGGTCAGCAAGATGGCTCATTAGGTAAAGGGGCTTGTTGCCAAGCCTAAAGACTTGAGTTTGATTCCCTGAACCCAAATGCAAGTTATCCTCTGACCTCTAACACACACACAGACACAGACACACACACACACAAAGACTCAGCCAGGCATTGGTGGCATATGCCTTTACTCCCAGCACTCCGGATGCAGACGCAGGCGAATCTCTGAGTTCGTGGCTAGCCTGGTCTACAGAGTGAGTTCCAGGATAGGCCCCAAAGCAATATAGAGAAACCCTGTCCGGAAAAACCAAAATAAACAAACAAATAAATAAATAAAATAAAAATAAAGACTTTTCTATATTTAGAAACCATAGGCTGTAGTACAGGGATGGATGGGGTGGCCAACCTGCGCATGCCCACAGTCCCTTAAGGGAACAAAAACTTCTTTGGAGTAGGAAGTACCCTTCCTCCGTTTTTCCTCAAATCACCCTTAGGATAGAAATACTAAAAAAGATGGGTTATGAGCATGACACCCAAAGGGGACAACATGCTAAAGTAGAATCGCATTTTGAGTAAAAATTACGTTGAAAAATCTAAAGGAGGAAGATTTATAATCGGTTAATGAGGGAGTCAAGGATATTGGGAAAGGAGTTAGTTCATCCTTCATCTTCCTCATCGGTGCCACGGAGATGTCCGACATCCTTAGCGGAAATGGAAATCCGAACTGGGAGGGAAAAGTAATATTTCCTAAACACGATGTCTCAGTATCTGGATCCTCATCACCAGGAAGAGTAGTAAGACCTGAAGGGGTTACATCACTTGAAGCACGGAGTTCAGTTAGCAGAAGAGAGGGAGGTTCTGATGAGCCAACTGCTACTCAGGCAACAGTTACCCACCTCTAGTTTGGCTCTAGCCAAACTCTGTCTTCTAAGAAATTGGGATCGTGAAAGAAGGAGGGGAAGAAGGAGGGGTACCATTGAGTTGGGAGACGTTCAAAAAACAGTTATCACATGAAGCCTTACTTGTTGGCTAAAGATTTCTGCATATGAATGTTATGGTATTCCCTCCCCACCACCCAGAACCTCAGCCCATCAAAAGCAACAGTCTCGTCTCCTACTTCCCAGTAAGTCTCTTTCTTTTCTTTTACCTGTTTCTCAGCTTCCACCGAGTAGGAACTTTCAGCCCCGCCTTCCTGCCCATCTAAGCTCCGCCCCCGGCCCACCTGTGTGCCCAGCCCGTGACGTAGCCTCGGGGCTTCAGCGGCCCGCAGGATCCCGGATCCTCATTGGTCCATCCGTCCACCGGCCTGCTCAGCCCACCAATGGCAACGGCGCTGGGCGGGGGGAGTGCCCACATCCAAGATGGCGCCCCCAGGAGCTGGGAGCGGGTGACCGGCGGCGGGGAAGCGGCCTGGGTTGGCCCTCAGATTGCGGGGTCCCGGGGGCCTGTCGCGGGGCGCCCCCGTGACCCGCCGACCAGGCCTTCCCCCGGGCCGGAGCGATGGCCGCCGAGAACAGCAAGCAGTTCTGGAAGAGGAGCGCCAAGCTGCCGGGGAGGTGAGCCCAGGACGCTGAGGGGAGTGGGGATTGGATCCCAAGCCTTACAGATCCCGATCCCTGAATGCCGCGGGCCAGGGGCGCCCCGAGGCCAGAGGGCTGCTGTCGGGGTAGTCCAGGCTGGAGCAGCTGTCTCTCAGAGGAGCCTGGCCGGCTTGGGTGTGGGGTGCAGACTGGGGTCTGGGGGCGGGGAACTTGAGCCGGGAGGTGTCGGGGACTCGGTGTGAGGGGCGGTGGAGTTGGGGGAGTTGCCGCTGTCAGCCTGGCCTGGGAGGAAGACCTGCACAAACGCTTTTCACTTTTCTGCAGAACTCCTCAGGGTTTTTCAGCAACATGGGTGGCTGCTTACGTGAGGGTGGCCCTTGGCCTTGGTTCCCCAGCACAACACGTTCCTGTCTTCCTTTTGGATTCCCCAGGAGTTCTGGTGGGCGAGCCTGGGGCAGGCCAGTCAGGGCGTGAACCGGGAAAGTGAGGGGAATTCTCAAGCCTGACCTTACTTTGTCTTGAGTTGGCCCTTTCTCATTAGAAATTACTATAGCGTGGTCACAGGATGGAGAGTGAAGTTACTCCCTTGGCATTTGCTAATCATTTGTGCAATCCAGTTTAACTTCTTCCCCCTGAGAAGTACTGTTCTCTTAGTGTAGATGGGTTACATTCTCTTATTCCCCAGTTTTGCTGGAGAGCAGGCCTCCCAAGCAACTTATTTTCTTAGCTTTTCTTTCTCTTCTTGGTGTATGTTGACATTCTGAGCAATTGTCCATCCATCGGTCTGCCACGGGTTTACTGGTTCAGTTTGTTTTGGGCGGTGTCTTGGAAAGTGAAAGGAGTATGTATTTACTGAATGTAAGATTTCTGCCTGCCACAGGCTACTTGGTGTTAGAATTTGTGTCAGGTCTTATCCCACACCTGTTACCTTTCCTGATTACACCTGCCCTTTCCTTCAGGCATAATCCTTTGACCTGTGACCTCTCTCTCCCACTCCCACCTTCCCTCCCTTCCCTTTTCACTCTCTCCCTCCTGAAATTTCTCTTTTCTGTCTCCTCCGGTTTCTCTCCCTTGATCTCCCTCTTTCTCACTGTCTCTCCTCACACAATTCAAGGCAAACACTTTACCACGGCCCCCATCCCACCCCCTTCTTCAAGCAAAAGAGAAATGATAGTCAGTATTGGCTATGGAACTTACTAGACACATGGAGAAAGTTTAGGAACCCGATTTCAGCAGCACATAGTAATATAATACCAGGGAGGCAAAGGTAGCATTGGATTAAAGTGCTGTGGGGTTGTAGTGTTCACACATTGTACGGTGACACTCTGTGTTTTTAGATAAGCCTCCTCCTCACTTCCTGCCACTGATTTATTTTCCTTCCTGCTTGAGTGAGTTCTCCAGCTGTGTCGACTGTTCTCTGAGTTTGCTATGGAGGGGTCATTACATTTCGATATCCTAAGATAATAATCAGTGGAAAAATGGTCACATCAGGAAGCAGCAATGAGGACAGCGGAAGATGCGTGACCTTTGTGCCTTTGGACTGCCAGATGTGGTGCATTAATGGTCTTTTGTTTTCTTTATTTCGTCTACTGGACTATATAGGAAGCCAGCTTTTTTAAAAGTACTAATTCAAATAATTAAGTTTATTTATCTACTATTTAGTTTATTGTGTGTGTGTGTGTGTGCGTGTGCGTGCGCGTGCAGGTGTGTGCATGCCACAGTGCTCACGTGGAAGTTGGAGGGCAATTTGTGGGAGTCAGTCCCCTGCATCCATCACGTGCATCATAGGGATTGAACTCAGGTCGTCAGGCTTGGCAGCAAATGCCTGCTGAGCCATCCTTCTTGGTTTGTTTTTGTTTCTGGAGACAGGGTTTCTCTGTGTAGCCCTGGCTGTTCTGGAACTCACACTGTAGACCAGGCTGGCTTTGAACTCAAGAGATCTGCCTGCTTCTGCTTCCCAAGCACTGGGATTAAAGGCATGTGCCACCACCATCCTAGGGCTGAGCCACCTTGATGGCCCAGAAACGTTACTTTTGCTATATAGGAAAAATCTTCAGTTTTGTCAAATCTCTGGCTTCTTTTTCATTTTGAAACAGAGCAGTAGAGGCAAGAACTTTGGAGTTCAGATTATTATTATTGTTATTATTGTTATTGTTATTCAGATTCTCTTACCCGTATGATTGACTGTCTGGGCCTCAGTTTCCTGATATGTGAAATTGGGAATAACAACACTTCCCTCAGCATTACTGTGAAGGCCAAATGAAATGTCCTATTTGTAAAGAGCCATGGCAGTGTTTATTTAGTACATTGTACTTGCCTCATAAATAGTCATTATTAATTGTACTGTTATTAGAGCAAGTAAAAACTTTGCCATCTGAACTCTTTCAATGAGCATATGCAAGGTCCCCAGCAGGGCAGAAGCGGAGCTACTTCTCTCTTCTTCACAGTATGAAAGGTGAGAAATGTTCATGCAGCGGGGGTTACTTCCAGATTCTTTGATCCTGGTGGAGAGACTTTAGTGACAACAAATAGAAGTTCTGTTAGAACAGCCCAAATTAAAAACAAGCAAAGCATTCTTTAAATTTTCCTTGTTTGTCTTCAGACAGAGTCTCACTCTGTAGTCCTGGCTGGCCTGGAACTCACTATGTAGACCAGAACTCACAGAGGTCTGCCTGCCTCTGCCTCCCCTGCCTCCTGCTGCTATTCTTGGCTCTTTAAATATTTTTAAAAATTTATTTTGATGTATATGAGTGTTTAGTCTGCATGTGAGTCTGTGTCTTTCCTTAGTCTCAGAGGGAGATTCCATAACCCCTTTCTTCCATCCTTGATTCTAAACTAAAGCTGACAAGTTCTTTTGCTTGCTGGGACTGGAATATGGTCACCTTCCTCATCACCTTTCTGTTTTCAATGGTTTCCTTCACTGTCTAAACTTGGCTGTCCTGAAACTTGACTAGGTAGACCAGGCTGGACTCAGACTTAGAGATACTTTGCTTGTCTTGTGAGTGCTGGGATTGAAGACGTGCACCACCATGCCTCTACTTAAGTTTTTCTTTAATTCCTTTTCACAAGTTGGAAGTTTGGGTGGGATCCTGCCCTGAGGCCTCCACTCCCTTTATTCCATTTAGCAATCAGCACTTTTAAAAATCTGTTTATCTCCTTGAACACAGATTTAGCTCCATTATTCCTCAATTTAAATATTTTATATATTTCCTTGCTCAGCTTGCTTCTTTGCATTATAAATCTTCATAAGATTGAACACTAGTTCCGGGTGGTTGGTGGTGGTACACACCTTTAATCCCAGCACTCGGGAGGCAGAGGCAGGTAAATCCCTGTGAGTTAGGGGCTGGTCAGCCTGGTCTACAGAGCGAGTTCTAGGATAGGATCCAAAGCTACAGAGAAACTCTGTTTCAAAAAAACAAAACAGACAAGCAAAAGAGCACTGGTATTAAAAGTGTGTGCAACCACCGCCAGGCTGGCTCACAGTTACTCTTATAAAGGAAAACGTTTAATTGTGGTGGTGGCTTACAGTTTCAGAGGATTAGTCTGTTATCATCGTGGGAAGCATGGTGATGTGCAGGCAGACTTGGAAGGAGCTGAGAGTTCTACATCTTAATCTCCAGGCAGTAGGAGACTGACACAGGACAAGTCTTGAGACCTCAAAGCCTGCCCCCACAATGATACACTTCCTTTAACAAGGCCACACCTCCTTATAGTGCTACTGCCCTGTGGGCCAAGCCTTCAAACATGAAGTCAAGTTTTACAACAAAATACGCAGCTCCACCATACTTGATTTCCTTATCTACAGAATGGGAATGAGAGGCTTGAATTGAACTGGCTGTGAGATCTGGACCAGTTCTGAAGCTGAGCATTGCATTCATCAACTCTTACTCATCAGGAATGATTGCTGGGCAGATCAGAGGGCTGGGCTAGATGATGGGCTCTTCTGTGTTGTCCTTTTGAGCATAGCAAATCATTTGCCTGGGTTAGCTGCTGAGTGTGGCAGAATTGCTAGATTCTAGAACTTGAGGCTAAGACCCTCTAGATAAGAAAAGAGAGGCCAGACGGGGAGGCCATGGAGCAGATGTGAGGAAGGACCCCTTGTCCAGTGCTGTCCCTGTTGGTGCTGCTCACTGCCTTCGGTCCTGGTTGTTATGGGAGCAGCTTCTGCAGTCCAAGGAATGTGGGCACTTGTCATGAGGGTATAGGAGACAGGTGGGAGCTGCTGGGTCACCCCATACGCTTATCTCCAGGCCTGCTGGAGTGGCTTCTCTTTCCTATAACAAAAAAAACTTGTTAGTAATTTTTTTGAGATTTCATTTATTTTCATTTCCTGTGTATGGGTGCTTTTCCTGTGCGTGTCTGTGCATCATGTGCATGCAGTGTCCACAGAGGTGAGATGAGGGCATTGGATTCTCTGGAACTGGAGTTACAAACAGTAGTGAGCCACCACATGGGTGCTGGGGTTTGAGTCTGGGTCGCCTTGAAGAGAAGCAGTGTTCATATCAGCTGAGCCATATCTCCAGCCCCCCAAATGCTTGTTATTAAAGTCAGTGAGGGCTGGGGCTATGCCTCAGCTGGGTGGTATTTGTGAAGACACCATGGCTTCAAGTCCCAACACCACATAAAACCATGCATGGTGGTGGTGGTAGTGGTGGTGGTGGTGGTGGTGGTGCAGGTTTGTAATCACAGTACTGGGGAGGTGAGCTAGGACAGTCAGCTACATGTAGGTACAATTAGAGATCACCCTATGCTATATGAGTCTCAAAAAAAAAAAAAAAAAAAAAAAAAAAAAAAAAAAAAGAGAAAAAGAGAAAAAGAAAAAGTCAAGGGAGTCATTATTAGTATTAAAAGAAGTTAAGGTGCTGGCCCCCACTGCCTGGAATCTTAGAATTTGTGCAATGGAGGCAGGAGGATCAGGAGTTCAGGAACACTGTAGACTATGGGAGATAAGGAAAAAGGTGTTATTGAGAAGTTGAAGAGCCCAGCACTGGGTTCTGCGCCCTACTGACAAAAGG